GCAAGTTATTTACCATCTCTAGGAATTAGCTAACCCTAGGAGCAGCAGTCCCTCCAGGGTCAGAAACCCCAGATGCCAAAGCATCAGAAAATAGAAAATAAAATATGTGGTCAATACAGTTTCTCACAAGATTCTAATGAAGATGGCAGCCAGGGCTGCAGCCATCCAAAGGTTTGACTGGGGATGGAGGAGTCCCTTCTGAGACGGTTTGCTCACATGGACCGTGATTTAGTGCTGGCTTTGGCAGGAAGCGTCAGTTCCTTATCACCTGAACCTCTCCATGGGGCTGCTTGAGTATCTTCATGACATGTAGCTGGTGACCCAAGAAGGGGAGCCAGGAGCCTTGAGCCACAGAGCCTTCCATGTCCTGGCCTTGGATATCCTATCCTGCACCATCACCTCCACATCTGCCGGTTAGAAGCAGGTCACCAAGTCCAGCCACAGTCAAGGGGGAGGACGTTGGTTCCAAATTCCGAGGGGAAAATTGTCGAAGGATTTGTGGACATATTTTAAAATGATCACAGTCTCTTTTCAGCTTAAGTCACCAAAACCCAACTCTAAAAGAGGCTTTTTTGGGGTCATGTGAACAAACCAGGGGAAGGACAAACTTCCCCTGGAAGAAACACTCTCTCTCTCTCTCTCTCTCTCTCTCACACACACACACGCGCGCGCGCTCCACTCTCTCAGCTGTAACCAACCCCTCACAGTCTGTTCTGAATTCACAGCCTCACAGACTCTTGTGCAGAAGAGAAAGCTCTGGTCACAGAAGCCGCTCCTGGCGCCTGGCTAGCAGCTCTGGGCTGGGTCAGGGGAGGACTCTGACGGACCCCATGGACCAAGCACTGTGCCTGGGGCTGGGGCTGGGTGACTGGCTGGCTTTGGGTCACATGTGTCTGGGGGGACGAGGCCTGGGACCAGCAGGGCACTATGCGGGGGAGGAGCTGCTCACAGACACTGCCAGGTCGGAGCTGAGTGGCCGTCAGCCATCCCAGGTGTGTGTCTAACTCTGCCTTGGCTGGACTCATGAGCCAAAGTCCCAGTTGCCCTATTTTTGGAGTAACAGGAAAAAGCCTCTGCTTCAGACACTCAAAATGGTAATTTTCCACAGGTGTGGCCTGGTCAGTCAGTCTATCTGCAAACGCAAACACACTGAGTCTGAATATTTGAGAGGCCGCCACCCTCTCATTTTTGACACACTTTGAGCCAGAACCCAGTCATGGATGCAACTGATAGGTGGACTAAATATCTGTTTTATTTTCTCCCCTGGGCCTGCTCTGAAGAACAGGTTCGTGTGGATACGCTGCAGGAACAGCACAGATCACGCCCGCAGGATCCTGGGCTGGTTTCCCGACCTTGCGGAAAAATCCCATCTGGAGATGCAGGGGCTCCCCCTCAATCCGTTCAAAGTCTTCCAACGGGAAGGTTTGGAGTTCAAGCTCCGTTGCCAAAAACACTTCCTGGACAAACACTCGGCTGTTCTTAGGGGTAAACGTCTCCACAGGGTCAGGGAGAGGAGACTCTGGGGTGCACCCGCTCGGCGCGGTTCCGTCTGCACGCATTTGCAGAGCTGGTTTCCAGCCGCTCAGCCACTAAAGCAAACAGCAAAGCCCCGTGGTTGGACGTGACCTATACCCTTGCTTCTAAAATTCCTGTGGCTTCGACTTCATTGCAATCTGGACATTGAACATTTTACTAACATTAACATTTTAAATAACCGCTTCGTAGATAACTAGATTCGGCCAGAGCACATTTGAGAGCATTTTCTGAGGCTTCGGTGCATATTTCAGCTCTGACCACAATTTTCTCATTTGTAAAATGGAGATTTTAAGACCTGCTAAGTGTCTGGCACCTAGGAGGTGCTCGGTAAACAGTGTGGTACTTTGTGACCTCCCAGGATGTCAGAAGAAGAAACAGGCCTAGAGAGGTTGTCCATCTGGGCGAGGGCAGACCTCCAGGGCAGGGAAAGGAGTCTTTCAGCAGCTCACCAAGTGGATTCAGGGGGAGTGGGCTGGAGAGGGGAATGGAGCCCAAGCCAAAGTCATCTGGGACCTTGACAGAGCAGGGAGAAGGTGAGGGAGGCAAGGGACGAGGCTGGCAGGGACTGAGCTAAAGTTCCCACAGCTTCCCTGCCTGTATGGTGTGGCTGGGGGAGCGAGACCCACAGGCTAAGACCTGGACGTAAAGCCTCAAAGCAGCCTCGAGTTCTACCCCTGAGGTCTGGGGTGACTCCCAGCACCCCCATCCCCATTCTCCCCAGGCTGGTACCCCGGGAAAGACTCTTGAGTCCCACAGCTGTCACCAAAGGGTAAACCCTTGCATGCACTGATCAGCCCCCTAATTCCACCTCTTCTGACCTGACAGCAGCTGACTGGGGACCAGGAGCTGCCAGGAGGACCAGTACTTTTAGTCTGTAACCGCCACGTCATTCCTCCCTATCTGGGGAGCAAACTCAGCCGTCAATCTGTAAATGTTCCAGCTTTCAAACTGGACCCAGTCCCACCTCCACCCTGACAGGCTGGAAGCCCAACCTTTCTCCTAGGGTTCCTGTCCCCCATATAATTAGAGGGGTCACCAGAGTTACCAGCTTCCTGCTGGGGACTGCAGTCACCCTGTACCAGAGAGCCTGGGTTCGAATCCTGACTTGGCCTCCTCGCCAGCTGCACGCCCTCGAGGAGGTCATCTCACCTCTCTACGCCTCGCTTCCTCCTCTGTAAAATGAGGATATTTATAGCCTCTACTAAGCGGGTTCTTTTGTGAGGATCAAATGAGTCGATACATGTGAAATGCTCTGGGCACTGCTTTGAGGGAGCTCAGGCCAGGCGTCACCTGCCCCCTCTCCAGCTGGGGGGGCTCCCAGCCTCTCCCCCACCTGCTGATCTCACCACCCCTGTCCTTGCTGCACCAGCTCACAACAGTCCCCAGACGCCCAAACCGGGGCCCTGCCCCTCCCTGGAGTCCCTCCTCTCAGCTGCAGGGGCCTCTTCCAGGCACCTTCTTGGGATCACAGAGCCGCGCAATCAAAACACCCAGTCCAGTCACCCCAAAGAAAGTGGAAGCAGTTGGTTGCAGGAAGTTTTCAAAACAGCCACTTTCCTCCTGCTGTCCTGGGACTGCAGGACACCTGAGTGTCCCCCAGGTGGCCTCCCTTAGCCCCTGTCCCGTCTGCCTGTGCCATGAACCACACGGCCCTGGGTGCTGACATTCTCCATCACGCACACCGGCCAGGGCTGCCGGCCCGCCTCGCACCAGGTGGGGCTGGGGGCTGCACACGCTCTGCTGAATGCCCAGGACACCGAGGGGGCTCACAGGCCATGGGGCTGCAGGCCTCAAAAGCCTGTGGTGACCCCTGTGCCCTGGGAGTCAACTCCAAGTCCAAAGTGTGGCCTCTACTGTGGACTCCAGTGGCCCTGCCCACTCTGCCCCTCCCCAGGAGCCTCTGGCCCCTGCCCGTGCCTGGCTCACTCCTGCCCCTGAAACTGGCCTCCTTCCTGCTCTCTCCTCCAGCCCCAACACCCTCTCTACTTCCCTTTCCGAGGACCGCCTGGGAGTTACTCAGTCTCGGGTTTGGATTCCAGCTCTTCCATTGTGGCCTTGGACAAGCTGCCTTACCTCTCTGAGTTCTGGCTTCCTCCCTTGGGGGTTCGGTGAGATAACTAAGTCCCCGGTTTAGGGCCAGCATGGAGTGGGGGCACCAGGTCTGTGAACTCAGACAGGCCTCTGATAGGGGACCCTTATAAAACAGACTTGGCTGATGAGGGAGGGAGGGAGAGAAAGAGCACGGGTGGGTGACTGAGGCCCTGCAGCCTCTCCCATGGAGAGTTCTGGACATAAAGAGTCGGCTCTTGCTGGTGTTTGCACCCCCACTTCCTGACAGGTAAAGGTGAGTCAGCCACCTCACTTGGGGGCAAGGGAGACAGAAATGAACCTGATCCGGCCTCTGACCTCACAGGAGGAGGGTTGGAGGGGAGACAACAGGGTGGGCCAGGACCCCACAGAGGGAGAGGCAGCAGGCTCAGGGCACCTGGTCGCTGCAGAGGGGCTGTGAAGTGAGCACTGAAGGGTGTGGCCATGGGGGTCACAGGGACAAAGATTGGGAGGGGCAGAGCTTAGCTGTCTGGAGAGCTGAGAGCAGCTCTAAAGGTGAACCAGGCAGGTGGGTGGGGAATCTTCTAGAGATCGGGGAGGCCATGTCAAGAAGGCCTGCCACGCTCATCAGGCTGTGGTCTTTGCCAGGAGGGGAGCAAGGAGCCACTGAGAGCTTCGCACAGGCAGTTCCCGGCCTTCTGGAATTGTCTGAATCCACATTGTCTGATGAGCCAGCAGGAGGTGCTGGGCAGGCAGAGGGAGCCAGGCAGGAGGCAGTCACAGCCTCTCTGGCCGGGGAGATGGGCTGGGACTCCCACCTCAGGATGACAGGGGCTCCCCAGAGCTGGAGGAGACCCCTTGACTCCCTTCAGGTCCCCAAGCAGCACGACAAACCCAGAGCTCCCAGGTCTGCCTTCAGTCACATACCTGGGCCCTGCTGGCCACCTGCCATACAGCCTGGGGATGACTGTGGGTATCACATGAGAATGGGCAACATCGACAGGTGCGTGAAACACCCGAGTGTGTGTGTCACTCCCAAGTGTAGTGTATGCACAGCACCTGAGCCTGCAGAGACCAACCACCCTGCCTGTGTCCAGGTGATGGAACTCATCACACCGAAGGCAGGGTTTGTCTGTTACATTCACAACTGCCCTTCCCGCAGATGGAGATGGTTCCCCAGGTTGCCATAACTAGGAGTGTCCCTGGGAGGTCAACCACCTCCTGCAGGAAGTCCTCCAGGATGGATCTTTGAGGTTTGGAATCTCATCTTCTTCTCTGGACTTGGAACTTCTCTTTGTCTCCTGGTAGCTCTGGAAGCCTGAAGCTTTTCCAGGGCCCAAACCAGCCCTCATCCTCCCCTGGGAAGGGGCAGGCGACCCCCTGTGGCCACCCAGCCCCTCAGTGACCACAGCACAGCTGTCCTCTCACCATGTTTATTGGTTCCCTGGGCAGCCCTTCTCCCAGGGGAGGCTGACTGGACTCATATCTTGTGGCCTCCAAAGATGGGGCGGTTAACGTGCTCAGGGGAGGCTAGGAAGGCCTTGAGCTTGGGCCGGGCACTGAGGCGGGTCACATAGGCCGAGAGCAGCGGGAAGGAGTCCAGGCAGCCAGGGACCAGGACCTGGTGACTCAGTAGCAAGTCCAGCAGGTTGTAGTCCGCGAAGGAGATCTGCAGGGCAGGGGGGGCCAGCAGGCTTGAGCAGGGTCAGGAGAGAGAGGGGTGGCTGGGAACACTGGCTGCTCCAATGGCAACCTGCCAAATCCACTAAATTTGGAAGCTCAAACTAAAATGGAACCAAATATCCCATGACTTCTCCAAAAATAGTTACAGAATAATTAATTGGAAACCAGAAGCAATCAAAAAAAATGTAGACACACACTTTACAATTTATGCCAAAATTCACTCAAAATTGTCTATTAAACAAATTTCAAATGTAAAACTATAAAAACTGTAGATGAAAATAGAGAAGAAAATCTACCTAACCTTGGGTTTGGTGATGAAGTTTAACACAAAACCCCAAAAGCCTATCCACAGAAGAAATAAAATTCTGAACATGACTTCAAAAATTTTAAATTCTATGAAATGTCTGATTCAGAAAGCCAAAAGACAAGCCACAAACTGAAATATATTTGCAAAATACATATCTGATAAATTACACCAAGAACTCTAGAACAAACCCCATTTTAAAAAATCTTTTAAAAA